CCATGTGCGTTGAAATTGTTCCGTGACGGGTTATAATCATACATGTTTACTTCTTGAGGGTTATATATTACGCGGAATACTTGCATATCACAGATCACAGGAACACTCACAATTAGCTACCGAATTTTCCCGATCTAGAGAAGAAGACCATGGAATTACTGGCTAGGTTATGGGAAGAAACCAAACGGAATACCATTGGTCCATTGGTCCAGTCATCGTTCCTGATCTTTCAGCTTCAATCTTCCTGCATGAGCCGCGGCAAATTTGTTCGGCCTTGAAATACTGGTTCCTTATTTGTTGTTACAAAAGTGTATTGCGCCACTCTTTGGCTGGCGTTACCTCGGCCCATTGGATCACCACATATTGGTACTCGGGCTACAGACAATGTAATCATCACGCTGCATTGCCCATCATCCACGATCGTCTATTCAAATACTGCCGTTTAAATATTCATGGTTCACAACTAACGTGTTTTATTTACCTCATCCGCTACTTACAGACGTCTGAATTGCCATTCGAAGGGTTGTTCATGAATAGCTTGTGGATACAGAAACTAGTATAAGTGGTTGATATTTTGAGTTCTTTTTCACAGTGTCTTACACGTTTAGTGGAAAACTACGGAGTGCCCTAGAGTCCAAATGATGAACCAGAATTTCCAGTTTAATAGATTGCACTAGTTGCATCAACGATTTCGATTGGATCCTGCGATATACATTATTCGTCGGGGTAAACTACTTTTTCCCTTTTTGAGTTACTGAGTTACAGCCAGTAAAATAACTTACCTATCGTTTGAGGTGGACTAATTTAATTTTTAGATAATTAATCACCATGCAACATCAACGCGTCGCACATTGTACTGTAAAGACTTGGAGACTGTTATATCCGACTTTTTCGATAGTTGACTTAGCAGGGCTTTCTGTGTTTCGTCACGCCAAGTCCGGAGGTTTAGGTTGCCGGTTTCCGTGTTTAAAAAATTGGCCCTCGTGACTATGGGCTTGATTAGTCTGGTGTGCAACGCACAAGTTTCAATAAAAATACACTGATCTGATGATCGCTTGAAAGCAGTTAGTTTTAGTGCTATACATTGTCATTAGGTACCCCTGGACAGAATCCGGAGATTGATTTTACTTTTGTTACATGTTTCAGCGTGTTACTTGGTAGAAAATACACATTTCTAATGTTTATCATTATCCCTAGTCGTGATATATTGAGCTAACTGACAGTAATTGGGAATTTTTTATTATTATGAATATTGTCGTGCACAGATCAAATGATGCGTGAACTGAAAAGCTGCAGAGCTCTAAACAGCTGTTTCGGCCTAGTTGGGTCTTATCAGCAGTGCGAATCTATGCAGGATCGAACCCAGGACCTAACAGATAGGACGCCACATACTATCCACTTGACCACCGGTCAGCTGATCTGGCCATTTTTCATTTTGCCTTTAAGCTATATAACACACGGAGTTGTAATCCTCACACCGGACCGTGATTTTATGACAGGTGAAAGTATATGTGAGGTGTCATGCTCTTGACTTCTTCAGGTTGATAGTCGAATGATTCTAACATATCACACAAAGTCTCGTACAGCCAATTTGCCACTGGTCAATCACGGGATTTATTTTCCTGTTCTCAATCAAATAGTCTGATCACTTGAGACATATTTCATTCATTTCGGTTACATTTTTGTATGCGTTGATTTGTCCAGTCATGGATTTCATACCTTCACTGCATCCAATGGTGAAGAAAAAACACAAATGGTTAAATCGCATGCAGTACAAATGAAAGTAGAAAAATAATTCCATTTCATCTATACCTAGGTCCTTCTAATTGCTCCGAAAAATCCGTTTGGTTCATCCCTAGATAAGTGTATCACTCATGATTTCGTGTCATTTTTTTCCTGGCAGTTTTCTTCTCGCTACATCTACCTCATGTGAATAGAATTGTTGTATAATCACTTGCAGATACACTTTCGCCAATCTCCTCTGATTCTGCTAGGTTCTTTGCAGTACGGGTGCACTCACAACGTATCTTCTGGCTCATGAATCAGATCCGGAATTCATTGTCCAATTTTTAACCATTGTGGAACAAATTTCCGCACAGTTTGCCAGTGAGGAACGGTGAGTACTGAGATTACGTTCGCTGTTTGCTGTCATGCTTTCATTGTCGAGTGCGAAAGATGCCATCGGTTGAGGGATGCTGGTGGAGTAGTTCATGACACAAGGTCCTCACTTGTAATCTCATAAAACGGTTCGCTTACAAACGCACTTTACAATAAAGGCAGTTGAACGTTTCGGTTCATGCCTGAGTTATTCGAGGATGCCTGTTTTGTGACAATCACGACAGGTGGATGTGTGGAGCGCTGCGATATCATCACGCCACCCGTTTTTCCCTCTGATATCTGATACAACTGATTCTTGGATTCACCTTTTTAACAGTCTTTTCCTATGTATTTGTCTTTGCAGAATTGTCGTGCCATTGTTCAAATTTATGGATTTTCTACTGAATGACCCGGTGATCACTGGCGCACTAGACGGAAACAGGTAAATTGTGCCAACGTTTTGCCCAATCTTCCTTGTTGCATTTACCTTCCAGTTGCTGTGGATTTTATAACATCCGAGTTAAGTGTTTCCAGCCCGACACGAGTATTGGTAATGTTGCTCTTAGCCTATATATCATGAAATTAAACCGTTACGTGGTGTATTTTTGTCCAAAGACCTTCAATTCCAGGCAGTGACTGTGGAAGGAAGTGGATGAGTTAGGGAGTGAAATTTGAGCACTGAATTCAAGCTGATAGAGCTGATCACAGTTGATGTCAAAACCGGAAGATTACTCTACTTAATGAAAGCGGAATTTATCTGTCCCATTCCGCTTACTCTCTTTCAAATCACCGCGGGGTATGATTTCACAGTTCATCGGTCAACATTTTTCACAACCGTCCACGCGAAGTAGCTCTTGACGCATAATATTAACTTTAAGATCGGACGTTGCGTCGAACGGTGCGATGAGTGCTTTGATTTGCAGAGTCAACGAAGACAACACACTACTACTGCTGCTGGTGCAACAATCGAATTTCACTCGATTGGAAATAAAAGTTGAGAATTATGGACACGGGTGACCAGCATTCTTATTGCCATTGTGCTGTGCGAATTCCAGAATAATCGATCATCAGTTACGTTCCCATACACCACTAAACCCATCTGAAAACAAGATCCATCGCACGATCATGGGAGAAATGTTCATTCTGAGCGCTATTACATTTCAGTGGAAACCATAACAAACAAACGATCTGTACGAGAAATACTGTCCTGCCAAAGTGCACCAGTGACGGCTTTGCATGGATATGAATGAGTAGAAATCGATGAAACAATGTGTAAGGAAAATCTCAAATATTCCGCTTTCATAAGGAAAATAGTCATCATATGCAGCTATAAACGAATTTTCGGACACCTGTTCACTTTGATCATAGGGTTGAGTAGCGTGGTCGACGTGTCATCGAACGTCAACAATTAGACTTGTTCTGCGCAATACTTCTTTACGTTACGGGGTCGATTCCTCATCTGGCCGATGAGGATAGGAGGTCGTTCGGGTGCACTGGTGCATTGAGAGTTCGCTGAGTCTAACGGTTTAGAACGTTTTGATTATTTTTAGTGTGCTTTGGAAAATAGCTATCTTTATTTCCCAGATAAGCTACTAGCTTGCTGGCATTTCTCTATTCTACTTCAATGCTCTATCCATTCCCTTCTCCACTTTTCAAAGTCCTGTCTTGCTAAATCTAATCGATAACACATGGAATGAGAGCAGACGCACACCGGACGTTCATCGGATTAAGGCGGCTATCGATGTGTGAGTGTACATGTGCTCCCTGAAGTGCAATTTGATTGCTCCACGTTTGCGGGGTTTCTCATCGTTTTGTTGTTTTTACTTTGTGAATTTTCCTCCAACCGAATCTAGCTACTGATTACAAAAACAGTAGTTGCATGCATTATAAGCTTTTTACATTCGATAAGTTCTCACTTGTTCCATATACCTCTAAGCAGCAGCCTGGAAATAGAGGGCAAAAACATGGGACATGACCAATGTGCTCTAGGAGAATTCATCTTCTGAATGTGATATGCCCATCACACACCAATTCACAGCTTTTCGATGCACACGACTGCCTGCGCTGTGAATACGAAGATTCGATTTAGTGTGCACCGCAAATCTGTCCCGCTCAGTAGTCCTTACTGGCTCAATTTGACCGTTTTATTGAACGTGTTATTGTCACAAATTCAACTTATCTCGAGTGGATAATACAGGCTTTTTTAGATCGAGGCCATGTCCTAGTGAGGTTTCATTTGTAGGCCGGCATCGTTGAGCGTTTCCGCATGGTTGCATTTCTAGTCATTTCACTAGAAATTTTGTGTTATCCTGAAAAAAACGTCTTGATAGTTACAATGAGTTCAGATTAGTCGTTTTTCCGTTGGATTGCATTCCTAGTTCCTCCTGCTCTGTTCGCTGTGTTTTCATAGTATTGACCGTCCTTTATAGTTTTTTTTCTGGCTTTTGTAGCGGTTTCTGTGGTCAAAGTCGTAAAGTCATGAACGCGAATCTGGTACCAGAAAAATGTTCAGCAATTTTTTCTCTTCGGCTTCTGCTCCTAACGAATACAATATACTACCCAGACTGATGACTCGTTTCTTCATTGTGTTTCTGTTTACGCGCTATTATTTTGAAAATTGACGGCGATTTTTTCGCCACTGCATTTTGTATACGCAATTTTTTCCGTGTCCATTCTATACGTTGCTCGTTCATGCCGAGGTCAATATCAAGTATAGACTTGGATGAACCTGAAGGACTCCTAACATCTAGTACTTGAGATCGATATCCTGTGTGTTTCTCTTTATCTCCAATCGGCATTCAGTTCCCCATGTTTCTTATGTGCAATCAAAACCTGATCCATAGAAACTCATTTTGATTTTCGTCCCACCCTACTCACTCATTCATCACTGACGCAATTTGTTACAGTTTTGGCGGAATGCTCCAATTTGATGGACCCGTTCGGAAGCGTGCAGCGAATCTGATGATGATCCTCATGGCACATCGATACCCGGTGGTAAGTCGGTCCGATTTCCGTGATGAAGCGTACCTCTCGACTTGGACCGCGCAATAAGTTCATTCTATTGTTTCGGCATTTAGAAATTAGGAGATTGTCAATGGGTGAATGATGTTTCACAACCTTATTGTTCGTGTACACAATCATGGTAGCAATCCAATCATGGACCATATGAAACCAAACACCTAATAGAAGTGGATTGCAGATTAGGTATTCGGCTTGTAAGGGAATTCACTAGAGGTGACTACGGATGGAGTGTAACGCGACCACTATTAATTCAGACAGTCAAAAAGAGTGACCAGCGTGAGTGAAATACTCACAGTAGTGCTGGATCCAGGAAGGACAAGTAGTCCCACAATTTTAGTCATAAGTGTTTTTCCAATCGCCTGCGCACTAAGATGCCGTCTGCCCCGTTGTTACATAAATTTGTCTGCGGCAACCGAAAGTATGAAGCTTCCCGCCATTGCCACCAGCGATACATCCTGAAGTTCCAACTACAAGAACGGGTTTCCAACGAACAAGTTCAATGACGGTGCAATGAGATTGAGAAATTGTTTTCTTTTCTCCTTCACCGGCACTTTCGTGATTCGACCATGTTCCTCGACAACCTGCATGCACCATTTCCAAACAATGTCTCCTGTTAAAACCACTTCCAGGTTGTTGCTGCCTCGTGGTACTTCAGACTTGGGTTGGCTCGGGCTAGGAGGACGCAGAGCATTTAGTATTTCGAAATATTTGTGACGTACGGGCTTGATAGGGTAATCGGGTCTGGATCTGTACATCGCAGCGATCCAAGAAGCGAGCTTCTTCAGATGAGCTTTAGTCGCACATAACTTTAAATCGCTAGCCAACTGCCTCATTACTAGTCAAGATAGTTGTTGCCGGTAGCTGGTGAGGCTGGCATGCTCTTCGAAATTGCTCCCAGATCTAATGGTAACATAGCCTCTACTGAGCCTTTACGTGGAACTGAAACGAAAAGGAATGTTCGGCGAGTTAGCTGACCATAGGTTACTTATCTAAAGGACCTTTCCAAATATTGGTCTCAAATAAATAACGAAAGTTATGAACATGCTGGATACCTAAGCAACATCATCAGATTGTACGAACGACAATCTCCACGACCGGACGCCAGTGTATCACGAACTCCGCAATTCGTTCTGCCGCCTTTTCGGTTAGAGTTTTTAATGCAAAGCTCTGGTTGAGCCCCCACGAACCACCATTGTGTTTTTGGAACGGGCGACCCTGTAGTACAATGCTCACACATTTCTTACCATATTTTAAGTGTTCTTGTATGTGGTTTTTCCTTAATATTTTTCTCTGTGGGTAATATGGTTGAGTGCCGTAAGCAGTAGCACTCGTGCATCTTTTCAATTTTTTTGAAAACCTGGTCTACTGAAACTCGATTTTCTCTGCGATTCTACTCTCAATTTTCCTATCCTTCTGCTACTCTTTCATCCTCATGGGCAACCGAACCGCAGCACAAAAGAGCATGGTTAATGGTTGTACAAACTGAAACTTAAATTTCAGTATCATGGAAAGTGCATTCTCACCTGTTGTATGCTCTCCACACAGGTTCCACTACATTTTCTTCTCTATTCCTACCATTTTATTTTCCCACAGGTTCGCAAATCTTCTGCGACAAAACTTTATGAGTGTTTGCTTGTGTTCGATTTTGTGGAACCAGACGTGATGGATCAGATAACCACGTTGCTTACGGAAACCATCTGGTAAGTGGTTCATCCGCGTTTGTATTTGTTCAGTGCGTGATAGTGTTATAGATTTGTCGTTTTATATAGAAACAAAACTATCCTCCTAAAACTCAGGATATCACTAGCTAAACATCCACATAAAAACTTGTGACAGTAGTGAGCAGAATAATGTGTGGCAACTTCTGTTACAGCAGAACCGTTCAACCGTGTCACTTTGACGTGAATTTAATCACTCAAATTATCTCAATAAGCCAAATGTTAGGAATCAACTGAACGGGACAAATTCACACACTTTACTCAGGAATTTTTACTGCACCGGTTTTACAATGCGAGTTGTTCTGTAGTCATGCCGTGTGGTACTGGTGTGAGAAAGTAGCTAACAGTCGATGGGATAGTATGTGGAATTAGTAACTATTCGGAAAGAGAAAAACTGCATTCGATTCGGTTCGCGTCCAATTTGTGGGGATTGTGAACAAGAAAAGTAAGGAAAAACGTATGTGTAGTCGTAGTCTAACGCATGCATGGACTATCCCAAATAGCCTGGGTTTGGGCTTACTGAACAGCAAATCATCTTGAGACACCTGTCAATACACGAGGTCTGTTTGTCGATGATCATTGAGCGTCATCTGTCACTGTCCCCCTAGTGCCTTGGCCGACTCAATTTTGCGCATCCTTCCAATTGTTCACGTCTTCAAATCCCCAACAAACCCACCTGCAATCTATTCTCACGGTTTATATGTGTGGACACTAGACGCGACTAAGCTACCTAACGACATTTGAACACTGGCACCGTTACCTTTTCCTCTCGTGTCTATAGTGCTACAACGGGATCAGCAATACTCTTCCAATTTAGTGTCCCAGGCACTTTGGTTGAATCATTAATACACTGAGCTTGGGGTCCACTCATACACATCTTCGTACATATCAGGGACTAGGGCTCGTACCAAACAGGTGTTTCGATGACGGCCCGTCCTAGCGAACACGGTCAATGAGTTGGACGCAACCAGTTTCGAACTTCGGGATCACGGGATCAGCTAAATCTAAGTCCGCAGTTTGTAGGTGTAAAAATGAAAGAAACCATTCAGAGACTGGAAATAAGGTCCCTATGGCGACTTTCGTTATTCATCACAGAAGTGTACATGGATTGTTCGATCTCGTTTTTTCTTCATTATCTTTTCCAGGGAATCCGAATTAACTGAAGTTCGTCCGATTCGAAACACAATTTGCGAACTACTTGGTTTATCGGTACCTCGAATGATCAATCCAAAATCGACCCCAGGTCGGGACACACCCACTGATCGAAGTCATTCCGCAATCTCAGTTAATGGGGATGCAGGTGATCGCGCCTAACTGCCTTATAGACGTGCCGTCATCCCTTTGTACCCGTCCCGCATCCACGCTTGCTGCCCGTCAGCCATGATACAGAGTCTCTGGTATTTTTCCCAGTTGAAACCAAAGCATTCCACCTGTTCTCTACCCCTCGGGCGTAAAAATTGGGAACTGTGTTATCACAATGTTCATGCTTTATCTTGACGTTTCTGTGCCAAACTAAACATGTTTGTTGAATGATCCGACGGCTTTCTTTCTCTCTCGTGGACTGACTGATTGTNACCTGACTGTTCCACACAACCAACTGAACGTACCATAACCTATCGTCATGTTTGTATCGCTTGCTGCACTTGGCCTGAGAAAGCCTGAGGTGCATATGTGGTCATTTCGCAACACATATATGCAATGCTATTTCATATTGAGAGCTGTGCGGTGCCGGTGCGTAATCCGTGCAGGCGGAATAGAGCTGGAAACTACCACTGTATTCGCAACAATGCCCATACCATTGGGAAGTCGATCGCGATCATCTTCCCGCTCTCATCCTTGCCCATCAGCCATCAACCAATTGATCACAACAAAATACGAGTTCAGGTATAGGCTGCTGACAGTTTTGCATGTGCACTGTCCCAAGTGCATATCGTATCTGGATCGTTGAGCTCAATCACCAAGCGATTTAAGTGTGTTCTTTCTTTCTTCTTACACATCATAGGGTGATGGACGGCAGAGGGGTAAGTCCCATTGTCAGGAGGACCTACTATTTCCTCATGGTACTCGGGAACTCGGAGTGATGAACCACATAAAGCGCCCAAAAAGACAAGTGTTGGATTGTCCATTCTTTTTCACGCAGCATAGGAATGTTACCCGCATGTCCTAAATTAAACCGGTTCTCTGTGACAACTGCAGCCTCGCGAGTTGGTAATCCATGGATTGCACGGAAATTGATTGGACGGGTCTGTTGTAATAAAACTGGACTTGCCAATTCAGTGCGAAACTATACCTTACCAACCTATTTTACTTAGCCTTCAACCCATTGTGTACACTGCTCGATACCAACTTCCATAGAACTATCATGAACATTCGAAACTGGGGATCAACAAGTCCCATGTCAGGCTGAGCGATACTTGTTCAATCAGAGAGAGGAAAATAGGTGTGTAGATGTCTGTGTGGAAGGAGAGTCACATTGTCGATCGGTGAAACTGATCGATGGAGATCAGGCGCACGCTGCTTTTTTCTGAAAATACGTTATGCTTA